CAGGATACATGATGTTGTAATTGAATGTCCCAAATATTATATACATTATATATATGAGGGTTTAGCATAGTGCTATTAGGACTAGTGCGAGAGAGTTTGGCTTTGTGTTTAATCATGGTAAGGTATTTGGATAAAATTTTGTCACAGGTAGAATGTTTGAGAATTATGTTGTGTAATATATATATGTATATATATATACATATGTATATATGTTAAATATAAATATTAAATAAATATATTTTTTTATATAAACTATAACTTAAAGTAAAAATTTAGTAATATTTTGAAGGTTTGAATATATTTAAAAATTTTTTTAATATATATATTTTTTTTTTGAATTTTGGTAACAATGTCAGTTGGTTTATTAACTTTAATTTAATATAATACAAATTTATGGTTACATTTTTAGAATTAATTATTATTAGTACTATATACTATCTAATTTTATATTACTGACTTTACTCGATTACTCTTATAGCACTTAAGTACATGTTCACTGCATGCCTGCATGAAATTATCTTAACAACCATTTGGGTTAAAGCACACTATTAAACTGCTACACAGACAAGAATATCTACTGAACTTAATACGATATCCCAAATGTAAAAAGTACTGTTTTTTATAAATCATACTCATATGTTCTACTTACATGTTTTATCTAGTCTTGTTTAGTTTGTCTCTTAATCTAACTATATCTAGTATTACCTTGTTCCCTACATTTTTCACCTTTTTGTTACTGTATTATTTCCAAATTGGTCCTATTTAGGTATGTTTGATCTTTATGATCTTTCCATCTTTAGTATGTCTGTTATTGATTTCTCTAAGATGTTCCAATAATGGTTTAGGATCTGCAATGAACCTATATCTCAAGCCAGAACTGCTGCTACCATTGGTCTTTTGACCAATCTGTATCTCAAGCCAAGTCTGCTACTATTGTTTCTGTAAATGCTCTAGGTCTTAACAGCATACACTAACTCAATACTGCATTTAACCTCCAACATAATTCTTCCTTTTATGATAAAGACTGAGACTTGTTACACTTACAAATAGGACAATTCTGGTTATACCTAGGGAGTTTCTCTAATCACAATAATACCATACTATCCTATATTACAAGCTCTCAGCTTATTTAATAATACCTGTAGGACAATTCTGGTTATACTCCAAAGAGTTACACTGACTCTAGTAATACCATCGTACCTTGCAGATCTTATCTTATAGTGGTTGATTGATCTCAGTCTTGTTCATTATAGACTTTCATATAAGTATAACTAGGAACCTGATTTGGTATTTTTATATTATATAAGGAAGTTATATATCAACTTTCAAGAATTTCCTTTCTATAATTAGATTATTCAACCATTCTAGAGATGCTTCTAATTTTTGGTTAGACCAATACTTTATTACAGTTCATCCTTGTATTTACCACTTCTCTCACCATTCCAGTCTTGGTTACTTTTAAAATATTCTTCCAATCAAATCCTCTCCTTGAATCCTAATTAAGACTTATTTGTATAATTTGATGATTATTTTTCCAAACAAGTATTCCACAAGTTAGTGCAGAGATGTTGATATTGCCTATATTAGGAGGTATAAGGATATTGATGCTGTCCTAGACTAAAGAACTTACATATGCAATCTTTTTATAACTGTAATCTTCTATAATAACTATTTGTTACACATAGTGTCTGTATTCCATAATTGGATCTCCTTCTAGGAATTCCTATTTCCATCATTGTACTGCACTTGGACTTAACCATAGGGCTTTGCATTCAATTACAGGCTCTTTATTAGATTACAGAAACTAAAATCTTTCAATTTTGCCTCCAGCCAGACTTGAACCATTGATCTTGACTGTGGAAGATATGGGAGCTTAACCACTAAGCTATGGGACCCACAGCCTTATTTTTTTTTTTTTTTTTAATATTGATAATTTAATTATTTAATTTTATTTTATAAAAATTGATCAATTTTAAATTATACTAAATTTTTAAAAAATATAATTTATACTTATAATTTATAGTTTAAAAATAACATAAAATCTTAATAAATATTATATTGAAATATTATATAAAGTATTATAAAATTTTTTTTAAAGCTATATATATATAACTTTTTGCAGGCAAATTTACCTGCACCTATCTAACGCATTAAGAGATAACATGGGTGTTAATAAATCAATTTGGTATCATTTTGAAGACTTGGACCAGACCAAGATTATAAACAAAGGCGTGCTAAATTTATGATTATTTAAATACAGTCAACCTCCCGTAAATGCACCCCCTTGGGACTATAAGCAAAAATTTTAAACATGTGCATTTAGAGAGGGCGTGCGTTTATGAAGGGCATTTTATTAAGTGCTCCATATGCTTGTGACGGAAGATTAGTGTGCATTTAGAGAGGGCATACATAGTGTGTGCATTTATAGAGGGTGCATTTATGGAGGGTTGACTGTATATTATTTTAACAAGAAATTATAATTCTAATGATAATCTTATATATATTTTTATAATTTTATGAAAAATTAAAAAAGCTCTACGGGATTTTGAAAAAACTGTGATTTGCGCAAAAGTCATTTGTAGGAACTATAGTTGCTATATGTTTTATTGTAATTAAAAACCTTATTTCAATTTTTGTTAAAAAAAAATATTATAATAAAAATCTAATATATATCTATATTTAGAGCAATTATGTTTTATTTACAATCGATTAACTCACAAAGATTCTTATATTTCAAGATAAATCCTGATCGATAAATGTATTTTTTCACTCCACAGCGGGACAAAGTGAAGGAATTAAAAGATTACCGAATTCTTATGCTATCTACAATACAAACTCATGATACTAGTACTACTAGTACTGATTATATAAGGACTGGCGATGTTAAGTTGTTATATGAACCTAATCTAGGAGTGGCGTAAAAGTCTGGCTTCTCATGATGTATACCCTGCCAGTTTTGAAGGTTTGATTTGTGCCTAATTATAATACATATTATATGTATCGTACGATAGACCTTGATAATAAAATATACCCTGAGCGTACAAGCCGGCCTCGTAACTTTTAAACTTATATGCAGGATTAACTTCGCTTTATTTTACACAATGTCGTAACTAAATTGCGGAATTATATGTACCTATAACTTAAATTCGTCGCGATACCTATCTTCGTCGTAATATTTATACCTCATAAATTTAAAGAAATCCTTATTTTTCAAGACAGAATTTATTAAGATCTTACCATTATAGTATAAATTAATATTGTTATACAAGATAATTATATTAAATGCTGATATAAAATATTAAGCTAAAAACTATTGCATATAAACCTATTGTAAAATCAACATAATGAAAGCAATTCATTTATTATATGTTTAGAATGCCTTATACAGGTTGTTATTAACAGCCTTTTGATAACATTCAAATGCCCTTTCCTCATCAATCTTCGTTCCTATTCCTAACTTATAACATTCACCAAGTTGTTTGTACGCAAACGTATATCCGCCCTTAGCAGATTTTTGGTACAATTTGAAAGTTTTTCTTTTGTTCACTTTAGTTCCATTACCATCATGGTAACATACAGCAAGATTGTATTGCCCTGCTGCTAAACCTTCTTTAGCAGCTTTTTGATAATACTCAAATGCTTTCTTTTTATTAACATCGGTTCCTCTACCTATGTCATAACAATAGCCCAGATTATTATATGCGCCAATGTATTTACCTTCAGCTGACTTTTGGTATAATTTAAAAGCCATAAATTCATCCTTTTCAGTTTCTACACCATTTTCATAATGATAAGCACAATTATAATAACCCAATGCAGAACCACCTTCAGCAGCCTTTTGAAAACATTCGAAAGCCTTTCTTTCATTAACTTGAGTACTTAAACCTTCGGCGTAACAAATACCAAGCCAATTATAAGATTCAATAAACCCACCCTTAACGGATTTTTGACTAAATTCAAAAACTTTTTGTACATCTCTTGTAACCCATTTCCCATAATAATAACATGTAGCAAGAATACATTGAACTATAGGATTAATTTGATTATTTAAGCACCAATCAATGATATTCTCTGGTCTTTGTCGTTTTTCTACAAAAAATTGCACCATTCTATCAAGAATCATTGTAGCTGTTTTCCCTTTCATTTTTTCTTCAATAATCATTTCACATAATTCTTCAACTATTTTTTTAAAAAATTCATATGATTTAACATTCGTGAATAAACCTGATTGCTGTAATATTTTATAATTGATTAAACTTGAAACTTCTTGTATGTTAGGTCGTTTTTCTGGGTCATCTTGCCAACAATCTAACAATGTTAATTATAAATTAATATATATATATATAATTTGTAAATTATAACCGTGGTTGTACATAAATTGTACATTCTAATAGTTATAAATCTGATCATATCTATAATTAAATTATGTACATACCAGTGTATAAAGTAATGTAAGCCAATGGTGTTCCTTCTATAGGGCTCTCTCTAACACCACTTAGGATATTAAATACCAATTCGGAGATTTGATCAACTGCTTCAAATGGAGGACGACCACTAGAAATCATCCATATGAGTATACCTAAACTATATATGTCCGATTTTTTGCTTATTTCATATGGATATTTGGATTGAAGACATTTTGGATCCATATAGGGTAAATTTTTTAAAAGATTATTAGTCATATTAGATGTTTTATAAAATCTTCCGGAAAGCCCAACGTCGGAGATTTTTATGATATTTTTATGAACTAAAATATTGTCTGAATTCTATAACATTAATAATAAAAATTATTAGATTATATTAAACAAATAGGCTACCATCAATAGAAAGCAGGCAGATTGACATTTTAAAAAAATCAATATCTTAAATTTCACACCTCATACCTCGATGAATTTTAAAGCCAATTTAATTATTCAACAGCCAAAAGAAAGCTTAGATCCCATGCTTTCTTTTGAATATTAATAAATAAATTAGCTTCTAAATTCATCAATATATGAGCTGTGAAAGTTAAGGTATTAAATTTTTTTTAAAATGTCAATATGCCTGATTTCTATTGACGACAGCCAAATAATCATTGAAAAATATTAGAGTTAAACGTTAAGCTTTTAATTACAAGATTTCCATGTACAATATCCTTCTCATGCATAAATTTTATCGCATCAACTAACTGTTGAACCAAATTTAATTTATGTGTCAAATTAAGTCTATAAAAATTAATTTGTAAATAAGCACTTAACGTTCCACTATCAGCATATTCAAAAACTAGGAAGGATTTAAGGTCGTTTACACCTAAATATTTTTGATAAATAATATAAAAATGTTATAGAATACCAATATTATAAAATTTGATAAATTACAAATTTATTAACCCATACAAATTTATCATAAATTAATAAATAATACTTTGGATTTAAGTTCTTTTACTTCAAATTATTCTTACCTTCTTCGGTGGCAATACCATAAAATCTAATAATATTATTATGAGTGCTAATATTTTTGTATAATTTAAGCTGGATTTGATTAAAAATTAAAAACATAAATAATAAAGGATAAATTTATCTAAATATTATATCATATTAGATATTAAGTTACTTCATCTATAATTTCTTGAACAATGGCTGCGTTATTATTGTCAAATGATTTTAAAACAACATCTAAGCCTGAACTTTCTGTTACTGCATAATACACTTTTCCAAAGGTTCCTGAACCGATAAGTCGAATATTTTTGAATTTTGCGTAATCGTAGAATTTGATAAACTCATTATTTGTATTCTTCAAACTGGCTCTAAACAGATTTTCGTTAGACATATTTTGATGAGAATTAATGAAATTTCGGATCCAGTGTTTATATATTATGTACAGTGGTACAAAATTTAAATGTGACACAAGAAATCATGTTTTCTCGTAATACTGCTATCGCTATGTGCAATTGTTTGATTATTTAGCGTTAGTGTATTAAAAATAAGTAGCACACAACCCAATTGCGCTAAACCAGGAAAGAGTGCATGTGTTGTACATGAGATTTTAATGACCATAGCTTTGAAATTGAGCGTTGAACAAAAATTTGATTCAGGTGTGTTAACTTATCTGCCATGCAATTGATAATTGTAATTTATTAATATTGTGACGGGTTAAAAGGTCGAGTCCAGAGATGGGGCAAATGCGACGGTTTGTCGCTAGAGAAATGGTTATGCCGCGTAACGTTCCTCAAGGATAATAGAGGCGGTTTTTCGATTTGGCACTGGTCGAGGCGATCGAAGAGGAGCGTTACCAGATGAGTATTACGATTTTTAAAAGAACGTTATGATATTTTATAGGTCGAAGGGCTTTATTAATTTTATTAGTATTTTGTAGGGGAAATACAATTATAGAGTTATATTGCTATACGACTCTAGACTATGGACTTGAACTCTGAACTACTCTGAACTGTCTTTCGGGAGGGGGAAATTCCACCCTTTTTATAATGAATTGTCCAAGAGAAGAGCCCGCGCAAGACCACGACTCTTCTCATTATTCCCAACACTTCCCAACATTATTTGTTATAACATTTAACCCCTTTTCACACAACCTTTCGTTACTTTAATATTTCCCACGGCTTCGATGAGAAATGTTTCAGTTTCAATATCCCGGGCCAGAACCTATCGTATTGTCTTCAATCGCACCTCCTTGACATCGCCTCACACCTAACCCAAGTAAGGCAACGTCCATTCCTAGCGCAACAGGGGTCCAGGTCGACCTTACTTTAATTGGAGGGGGTGGTTGGGTCCCGCATGGAGGCTTGTGTACTTTCATATGGCTTCTTTTGGGGCCGGGAGCACATGTTTCAGATGGATCGTCACGGGCACCTCTAATTAGGTAAGTATGCCACAATGACGCCCATTCCGCAGGTTCGATGGGGTGTCAGTTTTACCTCTGACAATATGTACAGTTACCTCAAAAGTTTGTCACGGTTACACAAAAACATATTCAAATATCGATATCCAATCAATGATATTTTCTATTGCACGCTAAGTAATAAATTATCAATGAATACCATTGACTTTTGGTTAGGGATGTTAAATGATTTAAACCACGATCTTAAAAATCATGATTGTTGATTTAAATTTGTTTAAAACTGGTAAAAACATTTTGACGTAATCGTGATCCAAAATTATGTAAATCAGCTGTATTATTTATTTATTATGATTACAAAAGTATATATTTTTATCATTACTACTATTATCCAAAATAAAATATAAAAAAATTAAACACAATGTCTTGTATTCGTCCATTAAAATGAAATCCGTCTAAACTTTACGAAATTACTGAAATTGATAAAAGTAGTCAAACAACACCTCGTCAAAGCTATAATTGTTGTGAAGAAGACTGTGTTGATTTGGTTGACCGATTAGAGAGTCATTTATTAAAATGTAAAAAGGTTTCAAAAAAATATAAAAATACATTGAATGTTCAGGGTCAGAATTTTAGTTCAAGTAATATGCAGTTAGATAAATTGGATTTTTATAGTATATTAGCAAGGCTTTTTTATTCAGCAGGTATTCTTTTTATGGTTATCAAAAATTCTTTTTGAGGAGAATTTTTGAAAGTTATGCAACATTATATTAAAACTATATACCTATTTTATGTTAACCCTAATCGACATAGTTTGGGGATTAATTTATTGGATCTTAAATATCAGGCTGAGTGATAAAATTTAAATATTGCCTTAAACGAGACAACAAATATTATATTAATATCAAGTAAGTGTTAAATATCTGATAAGAATCAGTTATAAATTTCATATTTTGTCTTTCAAACTTGATTTTTTATGATGTTATATACTCTGAATCTAAATCACATACTGCTAAATATATTTATCATAAGTTCAAAACTATAATTGAAGTTATTGATCATTCTAAGTTTATGTTATTTTTATATGAACAGTTTGGAAATTGTTATATAAAGATTAGTTTGTTTAAATTATAGTGTTTATGGTAGAAAATATTTTAATTAAAATATTATTCAAACTTGAATAAACAAATAAACAAATAAATTATATGAAAAAAAAATTATTAGTTTTTTTTTAGAATATATCATCAAGTTGAATTGATTTTATTAAATTACTCAAATACAATTTTTTAGTTTAATTTGTTGAAATTCAATGAAGAATTTATTTAATTCTATATTTTTATACAAGGCAGAAATTTAAATGATGCATATATAGGTTAAAATTAGTAAAAAGATTGTACAAAATCTTTATAATTAATTATTAAATAATTTAATATAAAAAAAGTTAAAAAATTTAGTTTTTTTCTAATACTTTTATTAAATTTACATGTCTATTTGAATTCACTTTCACATGCTATGAAATGATCAGTTAATTTGTATAACTTAAAAATTGATTTTAAATTAAAAGTTTTTGATTTAATTAAAAGACAATTTAGTTTTATATTTTATCTTATAATGGTAATTCTAAACTTTTTAGATTCTAGGTAGTTTTTTATATAAAATTATTATAGATTTAAATTTTACTAATAAATTTATAATTTATAATACAAAATTTTAGATGTTTCATCATCCTAACATCATGTGGCTATTTATGATGATATGCAGTATTTATAGTACATAATAATATTTTGTTACACTGAAATACAATATACTGTAGTAAGATGTGTTTGTTATACTAAAGTTGTGGTAACATGATTTTGATATCTGTGAATATATGTATATTTAAAAGTAAATAAAAAATATAAAACTTGAAAGCTAAAACTATTTAAAAATCTCACTTAAGTCAAAAATAGAATTCTAAAACAATTCAAGTTAATATTTGTTCTAAAATTAATATATCAAAAATCTTAATTTTAAGATAAATAAGTTTGCAATGTTGAGTTGATGCTAATATAAATAATTTAAAATTTAAAATAGAGTAAATTAATCTTTAAATAAATATATAAGAATTAGTTTTTAAAAATAAATAAGTGAGTTAATCTTTTAAATAAATAGAGTGAATACTGTATAGATTTAAGTATTGTGAATTCTTTAGCAACTTGAAGCAATATAAAAAAATTTAATAGACTACTATGTTATTCCAACTCATGATCAAATAAGGTAATTGAATTAATAGATTCATAAAATAATCACTAAAGTTGTGATTAGGTATTTGATAAATAAATATATATATATATATATAATAATATACAAAATGCTTTAAAAACATAACTGATTTAACTGTAATACAATAAAGAGTTTATTTAAAAAATTTAGTTTAAATTAGAATTTTAAATTAAAAATTGAAACAAAAATACAGTAAGATAGTTTTATAAATAATAATAATAGTTAAATAAAGTTTATAGTTTATAGTTTTATAAATAAATGATAATTATATGCTGTTATCATACATCTACTTCTTTTAAGATAGTAGGTAACTAGAGTGATCTTAGACAGTAAACACTTTTTGTAACCTCACTTGTTACTGTATTATAACTAAGTCGGAAGACGTTTTATTTTAGAAAACTTAACAAAAAAGATTTAAGGCAATTTGCAATTACGAAAGAGGCTACAATTAAAAGTATA